CCACAAGCCTTGAGGCTGTGGGGTACTTTGGTGTCATCTGGTGACCAGCCCTAGGAGATTGAGGGTGGACGGGGACAGGTGTGCTGCTTCTGGAAGTGGAAGGATGCACCTGAACACTGGCTTGTCCTCTTGGTCCACTGGACTGGACCGAGTCAACCGTGAGGCTGCTGGAAGTACTTTTTCTATTCAATGGCTGACATGAGGGGCAAATACTGGGTTCTTCAGTACATATGCCACGTGTGGAAACCCCCACCACCCCGGCCATGCCACCTCAGGGGGGGATGACACACCCACGGCCCTGACATGCACTCAGCTGGGGCTAGGAGAAGGGCAGGTGCCCCCGAACTGAGACACGAATAAAAATGTTCTTCAAGGGTGATCTTCTCAAAGGCAGAAGCCCAAACAGTGCTGAAGCTGCCCTGAACCGGCAGGTAGAAGCATCTAAACATCCCGAAAACAGGAGGTCACCCAGGGTGTGTTCCTGCCGACATATCACACCCAGGTCTGGTAACACACTCCCCATCTTCTGAAGTGGCACCTGCGTGTGACAAGGGCAAGCTGTCCTGCACCTGTGAGGCCCCTTCTCAGGCACCCCACGGCAACCTGTGGCATCAGATCCCTGGGCCTGGCTGCCTGGGTGCTTGCTGTGGTCACAGGAAGTCTGCCCCGAGCACAAGTGCTTTGTCAGAGCTCTCAAGGAAGGGGGCCCCGAGGCCGGTGCGACTGTTAGTAGTCGCATCTGCTAATGATGCTGTTCCTAAAAGCTACAAGGCCTGCTTTGCTGACATCGAATGAACAAACTAGAGCTATTTTAAAAAATACAACAGTTTTATAAAGACAGAATTCATAGCCTGTATCATTAAAGTACGCAATTCAATGATTTAGCCCAGCAGAGGTGAGCAGTCATCACATTTAGCTTTAGAACATTTTCTTTGTCCCCCAAAGGAACCCGGTCCTCATCTGCAGTTACTCCCCATCTCCCCTAAACTGTTCAGCCCTGGGAAGCTGCTCTGTCTCTATAGATCTGCTTATTTTGAATTTCATATAAATGGAACCATACAACATGTGCTTTCTTGTGTCTGGCTGGACCATGGTTTCAGGGTTCGCCCATGTAGCTGTCTGTATTGATACTTCACTTTTTTATGGCTACATGATATTCTCTTGCATGGAGGCAGCACATCTCGTTGGAGTCATCAGCTGAAGGGCCTCTGGGTGCTCCTCCCCTTGGCTCCTCCTCTGGGCTTTCGACAGCCCTCTGATACCTGGAGTTGTCTCCCCCGTCTCCCCGTCCATCCCATTTGTTCTTCATTTTAACTCCGTAGGTTTCCCTGTCACTGTCTGGTTTACTGACTCATCTCACCTCTGGTCTTGATTTTACACCTCCCTTCTAGATTCTTCCTTTCTTTTTGGATATATACCTAGGAGTGGAATTGTAGTAAAAAAAATATTCCTAGCTAGTTCTTAAAATGGGTAGTGGAAGGTGGGTATTCTTTGCACTGTACTTCTTTACACCTGATGGATACTCTGAAAGTAGTCTTTTGAATCTACTCAATGTTTATTAAAACAAACAAATGACCTAATAAAAAAAATAAAAAGTGGTGCAAATCTGGAGTACGGGCTGGATTGGCCCATGACTTAGAACTATGGTAGGTATTTGTGTATGCATTCTACGCATTTTTCTATGTTCCAGATCATATTCGTCTTGTTGTGGATTCTTTTCTTCTGGTTCTGTTTTCAGGTCTGTGTTAGTCAAATAAAGAGGCAAACTGAGGTGATAATGCAGACGATGCAGGTCCTCAAACTTCCTTTAGTGGGACAGTCTGGACCCATGCTGAGATGTCCCCAAGAGCCCTGTGTCAGCTCACTGATGCCCCGCTCTGCGGCTGGCACTGAAGGGCTCACACGGGGATCACCGTGGAGCCCAGAGCAGAGGCAGGGGGCACATCGCTGCTCTTACTCTTCCCTTAGTTACGAGACCCCAGCTCAGAACATTTGGCCAGCTGTGTGGGGGGCAAAGCAAGACCTTATCACAGGGTGAGATGCTCCCTGCGGGGTTCAGGGACATCTTCTGGGTGCTTCCTCAGCTTTGGCATGTCTCCCCTGGGTTCCGTTTTCCATCCTGATCCCAGTTCTAGTTTCCAGGATCTGTAGTGTGGGCTGTAGAACGAGGTCCTTTCACGTGGGCTCTCTAGACAAAGCCCTTGGTCTGGACTCACCTGTACCTTCTTTTTTTTTTTTTAAAGTTAGTTTTCTATTAGTGCTTTAGACTTATACATAATGGTGGGATTCACTGTGACATGCCTGTCCACGCACAGAACATGATCACCTGTGCTTTCCACAGCCCTGAGAATAGCTGCTCTTGTCACCCACGTCTCCCCGTCCACCCCATGTGTACTTCATTTTGGCTCCATCAGTTTCCCTCTAACTGCCCCATCCCACCTCTGTTCTTGACCTACTCTGTGCTCCCGGAGTCCGTCTGTCCTCCATCTGCTCACCCACCAACTCTACTTCCATTAGTATAAAAGATCGGTGCCCACGGAGGGCGGTCCATCACTGAGCTCTCTCAGGATCACAGAAATACATAGCATAATGACGCGCCTTCAAGAGGGGACAGCTGACCCATGCAAACACAACCGAGGGAAGTTTTCTGAACACACTCACTGTCTGCATAACTGATTCCACTTTCCCCTGGGCTTGACCTGCAAAGATGGATTTTTCCTTAGCATCTGTAGTACATTAGTGTGGTTCACGGGAAAGGGATTCGGAACCAGCCGCATTACGTTTTAGGAACAAAGATCCAACAAGTGACCAACTGGAAATCCGGCTAGTAAAAGAAGGCACGTACCTGTGTTTGTAGTCCTTTAAGACCCTGTTAGTGTAAAAGGTGGCAGCATCGTTCATCTCCTTGACATAAGGACCAGGTTTGGGGGACTGAGAGGACAGGACCATCACCCAAGCATAGAAGGAAACAAAAAATAGGATAAGAAAGAAAATGACTTGAAGAAGAAGAAAAGCAATGGTTGAAAGTTGCAGGCAAACTGGGCTCTGGAGAGGCTGGTGAAACACCTTCAGCACTGAACTTCAAACAGGATGAGGAGAAGCCGATACGCTCAGCCTAGGAGGAGCCCTGCTTCGGGCATCAGGCTGCGGAGGGGGTGAAGGTGGCTACGAGGCTCCTAAACCCTGCACCGACGGGCAAGGGGCAGGGCCCGGCCGACTCACCACAGCTATCCAGCCCAGGGCAGGGATGCTCTCGCTGACGGCCGAGAGGTGGTTGAACATGCTGCTCCCGCGGTTCCTCTCTCTGAAGGTCTGGATTTCCTGGATCTTTTCCGATATGGGTTTCAGAAGGGCAGCCACCTCGTTCTGGAAGTAAATGTCGAGAGGATTACTCAGGACGGGACAGAAGCTCAGCACCTCCAGCCACACCACACCGGCCGAAGCAGGGGACTCGGGACTGTCCGGGGGTCCAAAAGAAACAAACAACGGTCCCAGAAGAGAATGGAACTTTGCTCTGGGAGGGCAATACAGCCGGCCCTCTGTCCCCGAGTCCCACATCTGTGCGTCGAACCAACAGCAGAACGAAAACATTTTAAAAAATGGCATCTGCACTAAAAATGTACACTTTTGGCCCCCATTCCTGGAATAATACGGTATTAACAACATGTACACTGTATTAAGTATGGTAAGTGATCTAGGGGTGAAGATGTGAGCTGGTGATGTGCACACTCTGTGCCACTGACAGGAGGCACTTGAACCTCTGTGGATGCGGAAGTCTGTAGGAGGTCCTGGAACCAGCTGTCCTCAGACACCCAGGGACAAGTGTTTTGCGTTTTCATTCTCTGCATGATGAAGATGGCAGGTATTTTTGACATTATAAATGCTGTCTCCTGAGACATGGGAAACCCAGCAGTGGGCTAGAGCCCTGTTTTGGAGATTCCTGCATAGAAAGTCACTTTATTTTATGTCACGTAGAGAAGTCAGGTGTTGATTTAATCAGAGCTGAGCCTAACTCGGAGTCATAGGCCTATGACGGAGTGTCATTGGAACCAATGGGATCCACCAGCAAGGGCACAGGGGTAAGTCAGGGTGAAAGGACGGCTCCCTATTCCTGTGGGGACAGGATGTGGGACAGCATCCTGGGCTTGGCCACTGTTCCCACGGTCCACGTGCAAACAGAGAGAAGGTTCCCTGCGGCTCTCTGAAGAAACCGTGATGGCTTATCATTCATGTTGTCATATTCTCAGTGGCCTTACTGCTTTGGCTTTCTACACTGTCCCCAGTCCCCATAGGCCTATGACTCCCGGTCGGGCTCAGTTCTGATTAAATCAACACCTGACTTCTCTACGTTACATAAAAAATGACTTTCAAAACCATGTGAGCTGAGTGACGAGGTGTCGTGGATATCGACACTCCAGAACACCGGCTGCTTCAAAGCCCCCACCCGGACCCTGTCCATGCCCTCAGCATCCTCTGCTCCCTCTAGGTGTTGAAGAGCAGACAGACAGCATTGTTCCCCTGGTGTGTGTGTGTGTGTGTGTGTGTGTGTGTGTGTGTGTGTCCAAAAAAAGAGCTTTACAGAACAGTTGAAAGGCTTGGGCAGTATTTTAATAAATCTGGTTTGCAGGAAATAAATGGAAAAGTTCCTACAGCTCTTTAATTTCTTTAACCGAGATTTCAGAGGAATGGTTTCTAACCCTGGTTACTCATTGGAGCCACCTGGGGGGCTTTAAAAAGCACCTCTGCCTGGGTCCCACGCCCAGAGATTCTGATTTAGCGGGTCTGGAGGTGGCCTGGCCAGGGCAGGAAGGTGGGAAGAGCTCCTGGTGTGATTTAATCAGTCCTACGGCACTGGCTTCACACCCCAAAGGACAGCCGTTTCTACCAGGGACAGCAGGTCATTAGGGAAGGGATTCTGTTCGGGCTTTGGAATTAGAAGGCCTTCGCTGAAATCTCAGCTCTGCCCCTTACCACCTCCAGGGCCTGGAGCAAAGGGTGTGATCCTTGGTTTCCTCAAGAATAAATCAGAGACAAAGACCTACAAACCAATAAGCTGCAGGAGATGCACCATCCGTGGAAATGATGATCATCACTGTGAGGAATTGGCTCATACGGAGGACGCTGTCCGAAATAGTTACCGTCCACTTGCCTCAAATCAATGAAGGTATTCAACTTAGGCTCCAGGGCTGGGTTGTAGCTCAGTGGGTGGGCACTGACCTTCGCATGCGAGAGGCACGGCCCTGGGTTTGATCCTCAGCACATAAAATAAATAAATAAATAAAAATAAAGATATCGTGTCCACCTTCAGCTAAAATAAATAAACAAGTAAACAAATAAATAAAGAAAAGAAGGGGAAGTCTACAATCCCTGTAGATTAACAGGATTTTAGGATCCCCGGAGTCTCAACTGCGTAGCCTTGTTCAGCCTTTAGACAGATCCAGCTGAGTAGGTCACAACGAGTTTTGTAAAGAACAAATGGATTTGAACAGAACAGAGAGTACTCCCATGGAGTAAGGGCGGGTATTCGGGGCCACTTTGTGTCAGTCAGGCACGGTGTGGGGGTGTCTGTGGACTCAGCTGTGGGGTAAAGTGCATTTCTTACTGGGGACCTCAGCTCAAAGGTTTGACAAACAAGGACCTGGCCAGTTCTCCCATTTGGCACATGTGCACCAGGCTCACCGAGGTCCACTTGCTAAAGACCAGCGGGCAGAGTAGGTGGGGCTGCAGCTCGCTCCTAGGTATTCTGGGAGGTGCTGAGACCACCACTCTCCATGTACCACTGGGTGACACAGCCTTCTCCTCTGCCCACAAGACAAAGACAGGCACCGTGGATGGAGTAAGAGCTCAGTTCTGGACGGGACAGTGGATCAAGCCCTTGTTCCACGGTGGAGCAGCACGTGGGGGCTTTACACAAACGACAAGCAAGAATTCACCACCCCATTTGCAGGACCGGGTTGACAATGGCACCCACTTCACAGGGGTCTTACGAGGCATCAATGAGAGCTCTCGGGGCATTTTTAACTTCTTCCACATTGAAGGAGGGCAAAGGCAAAATGGTCTGAAGCCAGCCAGTCCTCGTGGAAGATGCATGAACACCTTCTTCCTGCCCCTTCCGGTCATTATGAAGCAAGGGTCTGACAGATTCGGCATGAAGACGCTGGATCCCAGCTGTTACAGGCGGACAGGTCTCCCTCGGATCCACGTTGAAGCCCTTGGACTCCCAGGACCTCAGCCTGTAATCACGCAGTACTGGACATGGGGGTCTTCAGAGGAAGTTAAAATGAGGTCGTTAGGGTGGGCTTTAATGCAACGTAACTTAACTGGTGAGCTTAAAAGATGAGGACATTTGGACACGGAGACCCCAGAGGGAAGGTGATGTGGGGGCACAGGGAGAAGGGGGCCAGCTACCAGCCCGGGAGGAAGGCCTCAGGAAAGACCGACCCTGCCCACACCTTGCCCTCCGACTCCCAGCCTGCAGAACCGGGAGAACATAAAGGACTGATCCCTTGTCATGGCAAGGAACGCAGGGGTCTACGGGCACCCAGGAAAAGCAAGCGAAGATCCTCACCCCTTCCCTCCCCGACTGTCAATAACAACACAAACAGACCCCTCCAACCACTCCAGCCCCAAACACAGCTCTCCATCCTGGCTCGTCAAGGGCGGCCAAAAAAGTCAGTCTTAAATGTTCTCCCTGGAATTTCACTCTGCAAGAAGCAAACATTTCCCTCTTCGAGGGATGCTTTTCAGTCCAAACTCAATACTGACCAAAGGGGTGGCCTTGGTTTTCTGCAGAAGACCACTGAGTTTCAATTATGGTAGAATTGTTAAAAAAAAAAAATACCGTCTCCCAAAATTGGCTAAGAAAGGCCAGAATATTTGAATTGTTGGTAATACCGGGTCCACTGCCCCAAGGGAAAACAGAGCTAGGAACTGTGTACTCCCAAGGGTAGATTTATGAAGGCCATCTTTTTCTTTTTTATCTCTAACTTCCCAAGAACAAACTCTGAAGTCGGAGGAGACACCGTATTCTGGAAGATATTTGACACTGGTTATCTGATGAAAGCATCATCAGGACTGAGAAAGTCTCCCTTAGCCTTCGCTTGGCTGTCGGGTGAAGAACTGCGATCGGGAAAAAACAAGAAAGTGTGTGGAGAGAGCCAAGCACCACAGCTATTTGCACAAGGCTGATAAACAGGACGGCTTTCATTCCTTGCCAGGAGATTGCTCCTCTACTTGAGAGGTGGGCTTGTCTTCTCCAGCTCATCCTGAACTTTCGCAGCTGGAATTGAGAGAGCAGAGGACACTGGAGCGAATGGTGTGACCTCATCAAGGCTGGCTGCGCGCCATGTCAGAGTGGAGGCCAGTGGAGGAGGCTCATCACGTCCCCCACCTGCTCAGCAAGGCACACCTACTAGGCATCCTCAACGCATGCAGGCTGAATTGTGAAGACGACAATTACACTTACAGAGGGGCTTTCCACTGACGAAGCGGTAACTTAAGAACTGTCCAGGTTTACTGTTCTTTTTTTTAGTTTTTCTAGTCAGAGTGCACCGGTGACAGTCTCCAGACATGGCTAGCAGTCCTCTGAATGACTTCAAATCATTCAGTGTCACAAAGGAGCTGCCCAGAGTACTTTTTTTTTTTTTTTTAAACTCTCCCCTCTGGTTTCTTTATTAGGAGACATTTCCCCGAAACAAAATCATTTTTCAAGGTTCATGGGAAGATGACCAAAAACCTTCCCTGCCTCTCCCCAGGTTTCTGTGTCTTTTCAGAAGGTGCAAATGGACCAAGGGAGGAGACAGGAGCATGGGGCACATTTCCAAGGGCGGACCTCTGACCCGGAGAGTAGTGTGGGGCTCTGCGTCTTTATGGTCCTACTTCTGCTTTAGACTGCAAGACTCAAGCCCATTATCAGCTGCATCTCCTGTGAGCTCCAGAACTAACTGAATTGTGTTGCAGAAAGTAAAATAAAAAAGAGTTTTATCAGCAAGCTTTGTAGAAACTTTACCCAAAAAGGAAAACCAAATCCCCACTCACGCTGTTTTGTAAGACATGGAACAAACTCTGGGAGTTTGACCTTAAAGACGTGTCACTGAGTCAAATAAAATTGGCCTGTTATTTCTAGAATCCAGAGTTCTCATGTAGTTATGCATCAGGTAGAAAATAGTTCAATCATTTGCTACTTAAAAAAAAAAAAAGCTCCCTTTCACCCTCTCCCTCTCTCTCTCATTTATAAAATTAATATGTGCATTTTGAGAAGCACTGGAAAATACAAATGAGAAAATCCACATAAACAAAAACTATTCTTAATTCCATCCCATGGACATTTTCGAAAACAACAACAATTACTTTAAAAATAATGGCCA